TAAAACATAAAATAATTTCCTCACGCTGCAAGTATATTGTGTTATTGAAACATTCCTTAAGATACATATACCTCTGTATTCTTTTATTTTTTGTTGTAACAATGTTGCCAAGACCTTGTCTGTTCTTTCTTTATAAGGCAACAATGACATATCAATAATAGGAATAACTATTATAACAATGAAAAAATAATTATAAATTCATTATAATTTTGGTGAATAAAAATGTTAATGCACATTTTACAGAATTTTGATATTTCATTAATATAACGTTCATGTAACACTTTAAAATAATTTCATGATATTAAATTTTGTATGGAAAAAGGTATATTTTCCAAAATTTTCTGGAAATTTATGTTATATTAATTAAAATGTTTTGAAAAAGTATAACGCATTTCATAATATTTATTTTTTGTACTGTGAATTATGTAAAAGTATTTTTAGACAGGAACATTAAATTTTTATCGCATTCCAAGAGTATGAATTATCACCGTGTCTCGTCATATAGAGAAATAAATTAGCTTACTTGCAAATGGAACACTTTATTTTAAATAAGTACATATTTCATTAAAAATGATTAATTGTTCCTTCTAAAGTAAACTAAATGCTAAAACATTAAGAATTTAAATATTGTGCAAAAAGATCATAACATCATAAAATGTCTGTAAATACAGTTATAATAATCATAGTATAGAATATTTCTATAAAGGTACTTAAAAAATTGAAGAATGATTTTTAGCATTATGAGAAATTACAGAATGACTTAAATATAATATATAAAATAAATAAAACAAAAAGAAAATACATACGTTTCTCTAAATAATTAATGTTCTTGTGAAAACTAAAATAGTGAATAATTATTAATATAGTGTAATTAATGAAACAAATATTAAAGATAAATGTTTCAGGAAAGGGTCTTTTTCCACTACACAGTTAACCTGTTAAAAGTAAAATAATAACTCTCGTTTTTGAGAATAATTATATATAAAGAATTCCAGTTCAAAATATAGAAGATAAGAAGAAAAGAAATAAAGCCATTAACAATACAACCGAACAAAGGTTAATAAAATGGATGGATAGAAAAAACATATAATTTTACAAATATAAATACTGAACTTCAAGATCTAATGTATTTTCTAACAATAAAATATTCTATTTTATTTAATCATTTTAAATTTTTATGAATAAGTAATATTAGTACTTACCAGCAATTAATGAAAATGTAATGAAATAACTTTTAATCTGAGGTTGTATCATGAAGAAACATACAAATAAAAATATATGAAAAAATAATATGTTGTTCTAATGAATAACAGAATTACATATATATATGTAAATATGTTTTATTTATTCGTATTATAAAAATATATTATCTTATGTTATAGAAATTTGTATATGGAATAACAAGTTAATAGATAACTATTTTACAAGCTATAACTATTGTAGTTTCTTCTATATAATAAAGGGTTAATTTATTTTTAAGTAATATTAGCAAACATATAATACAAGTTCCTTCAATCTATATACTTTACAACCAATGTCCTCATATATAGAATCATAAAATTAAAAATACGTCACCATCCTAATAATAAAATAAATGTATAAATTCTCAAAATTTTTATTTGACATCAAAATATGAATGGATTTCTTTTTATTAATAACATTTTTTATAAGAAAATCATTTTACTATAACCGAGATATAAAATTATTATAATGAATAATTTATATAATATTAAATGTAAGCCTTGAACTACTATTGTAATAAAAGGCAGACATAGACATTCATATAAATAGCCATTTGTAGAACAAGTCTGATATCATTTGTTAGTATGACTTAAATATTATCTTCCTTGATTCATTGTTTTATTTGTTTTTTTTTTATGTATTATATATAAACCTTGTATTATTATGTTTATTTTACTATCATATAATTTATAAGTCTTATATTTCGATATATCTGCGCTTGTGTTAATTTAAAGCATAGAAATATTACGAATCACTTAAAATTATATCTGTAAATATAACATTTTCAAAGTTATTCTTAAAAATATTTATAAATGAAAGTATTATTATGTAAACAAATTAATGTATATGCTTTTAAAACACCCTAATGATATGTTAAACAGAGTGATACATATCTTTATGAGTTAAATTATTTATACTTTCCCTAATTTTTTAATATAATATTATGACACAATGTATATTAAATTGCGGTTTCAAAATCTCTCTATAGTCATATAAAAAAACAAATATTTTTTTATTATTTTTTTAAAACAAAAAAAAGGAAATCTAAGTATAACAAAAAAAACAATATATTTACAATTACTACTATTAGTGTCGTTCCTAGTAACTAATATTTTATGTTATATATGTGATATCACATATTTAAATGATTTAGATGAATTTGAACATAATATTTAAAATTTTCTAGGTAATACATGCCATGAACTTTAGAAAGGTGTGTTGAAATACATAAAAAAAAATAAAGGGAGACTCAGCAAAATACTTTGAAAAATTATGTATAACAGATTCTTTATATAAATAGAGAATAATAAAGAATATCTCTAAAAAAGATAATATCTATATTCCGTAACAATAACGGGTATTATGATTGAAATATAATTGAAATAACTATAGAAAAAAATGAATTCTATGAAAAATATAATGGATGTGGAAAAGCATTTGGGTTTACAGTATAACTTAGAATATATTCAGTATTAACCCAAGAAATATATGATTATTATGTTTCTGAAAGTATCTAATTTAAATTGCTGGTGTAAAAATTTTAGGCCTAAAAAAAAAAAAAAAAAAATACACAGACGCAACATAGTGTATATATAATTACTAATTATATTTTAAATAAAAATGAAAAATCTAAAGCATTAGGGGAATACCCAATTAATATACATGTAAAGGTAGATTTTTATATAAAAAAATCTTTATTACACTCAAGATATAAATCTAAAATTAATATAGAATGCAAGCGAAAGATTTCTATATTCAATAAATCATTATAAAATAAAATTATTCAATATATAAATAATATTTATGTGATCTATATTCTTCATCATATATTAATAATACATTGATTATAAAGAAAATGATAAAAAAATTTTAATAATCATAATAAAAGTCATGAAGACAATAAAGTGTAACAAATATAGCACCTATGTCTACAAAAAAATAATCAGGACAATGAAAAAATAAATTATCAATAATATATTTACAAAACTACTCCAAATGAGTCAATGTTTCATTTGTTATCAATAATATAACTAATTATTCCTGCAAATAATTATTAATCACATGCATAAATAATGTAGTCATGCTATATATTTTTTAATGAAATATACAATTGTCATGCAAATAATAATCATCTACATGTTCCGAATATATTTTCTCGTAAATATATATTAAATGCTGTGAATTTTAACATATAAAATTCTAAATTATTTTATACAATTAATGAAATCATTATATATACTGTATACAGAACATAATAATATATACCTAAAATACTAAGCACTAATTCAAGACGCAAAAATGTAAGGAATATAACATAAGAATTATATTATAAAGCTGAAAACGTGAACACGAAATTCTATATATTAATCCGCAAACTCATAACATTAAATACTAGATCTATTCCCCTATACTGTAATTTGAACCGAGTACACAAATTATATTATTGCTAAATCAGATATTTATAATTTATCTGAGAAAATATTTATTGATTATTCTTATAATATAATAATTTTTAAATAATTATATAAAAAATGATATATTCATATAATTTTAATACTTTTTAATAAAATCATTAGTGTGAACTTCCATTTGATGTATATAGTACATAATACGCAGTTTGTGAAGTTTTTTTTCTGTCAATAATTCATGCAAAATAGAAAATATGAAAACAGTAAGCTTTATACATATCGTGAAAATAACAACACAAAACTTTATGCCATTTTTTTTTTTTTTTTAGAAAAATGAAGTGCTTGTTGTAGAGCTTAATTCACTTCACATATTTTAATTTTTTAATTTGTTATATAGAGGAAATGTAATTTGAATTCATATATTTTTCCAAAAATAGAAACAATAAAAATATATAAAAGAAGTAATAAAATATTATTTTTTTATTGCACTAAAACAAATGGAAAAAGTAAATAAACATATAGTTCCATAAAATTTATGATTAATGACATATGAATTTATTATTGTATTAAACACTTGTTTTATTTAGGACATTAAATCATAATACACTAGTAATATAAGTAAAAAAATCATGAGCATATATTTTTAAGGAATAATAATAGTTTCTTTATAAAATTTATATCTTTATGGAAATAATAACCTTTCAATTTTTTTGGAAACAAATATTTTTCCCAAAATTTATCATTCCATAATAAGTGCAATAGCATTATAATGTATAAGCATATATGCAATATTAAGACACATTGTATCATAATAGTAAAATTTATAAAATATTAAACTCTAATTAGCTACAATGTATCAGATTGAACTATAATCCAGAATATTACTATAATTTTTTTTAATGAAGACGTATTGTTTATATTTATATTACAAAAACGGAACAAAAGATTTCTCATCCTCTAAATATTCTATAATTTAGTGATTTATATTTCTTTTGTTAACATATATATAGTACTATAAAAACTAAATAAAGAGATAAAAAAAGTGAATTATACATATAAATTCAATTTAGTAAGACATTATATATAACTATGTCTTATTAATGATATATTAGTGAAATTACAAAATTTTAATATTGAAAAATATATTTGATATTATATTTATGGAAATTGTATAATATTTTCCAAATAATATATTTACTGTTCTTTAACTTATGTTTATATAATTTTATAAGATATATTATGATCTGCCAAAAAATATTGCTGTGACATTTTAAGCTCTATAAAAATGGATAAACAAACTAGTGGATGATATATTTAGTTCAATTATACAATTATAAAAAGAGAAACATAATGATTCTTCATAAAATATGTCTACTTTTCTTTAAAAATGTATTTTCTCTTTAAACACAGGATTAAATATTTTATTTTTTTTACAGCAAAAAAATGTAGCCTTATCTCACATGGAAACAGAATTCGTTAATTTGAATTATTATAATATACATCGCGGCGAAATGTCTTGTATAATAATTTTTTATATATATTGTAAATGTTTATTAATCATAATATAATTTTTGTCACTGAATTTTTTTTTTTTTAATTCAGTATAGTTATGTATATTTGTTTCTTCAATGGAAAAAGCTTATGGATGAAGTAAAAATAGATGAAATTGAACAAAATGAAGAAGAAGATAAAGAAGAAGAAGAAAACAATGGAGCAATACTACTACCAGATCAAGTAAAAGATTTAGAAGTATATTTAGACGGAGAAGAAGCAGGAGTAATAGAATCCATAGATTATAATGAAAAACACATACCAGAGATTTGTGAAAACTTTCACCATAAGGAATTAAAGATTCATAATCTCGAACCAAAGAAAATATGCTACAAATGGATGTCATATCTATTTCATAATAAGGACAATCCTAATATAACATATATAGAAGCCCGTTGTAAATATTTGTATTATTGGCTATACTATGAACTTAAAGATAAAAATGAAAGAGACATTATCATACACGCTTATGAAAAATTGCTAAATTTAGGTAATGATTACAACAATAGTATGTGTAAAAATTATAGCGAATCTTTAAAAGAAGATAAATTGGAAAAACTGAAAGACTTACATGACATGTACACAAACATTAATGATATAAAACATTTCCATCTTGATTTATGTAACGGAAAAAAGTGTAATTGTGCTGAACAATGTGCTAATATATATAATCGACGCAAGGTCGAATGTGAATCTAGTGCAGATGCTGATTTTTGTAACATATTAAAAAAAATTAGGAATGAACTTATTAATCTGGAATTAATTGAAGATTGTGAAATTACTATACCAGAAATGATAATCTCTCACAAATCTAGTAAAACAAATTCAATGTTAATTTCATTTGTAGTAACATTTGTAATATCATTTATATTATTTATTCTGTATAGGGTTAACAATGATATTGTACATATTTTTATGTCACTATATGCACATTATATATAAAGTAAGTAAAAAAAAATTATCGAAAAAAAATTATATTTTCAGTAAAAAATACTTTTAATAAAAACTAGTTTACCAGATATGGTTCATCCTTGTTTCATGGAACAGTAGGGAAAAAGATTAAGTGGAATTCTTTATATGAGGAAAAAAATATATTGCAACTATATGAAATAAACAACAGTAATGGAACCAATAGGAGATGTAATATATTATATAATGCAGCATAATTTTGACATTAAATATATAATTTAAATAAAATATTGTTTGAAAAAATGTAAAAACTTCTAAGCAGATTATATAAAAAATATTTTTATTATTATATTTTTATAAAAATGATGTAATACATATAATATAATTAAACAAAAAGAATTATAAAATTACCAATAAAACATAAGAATATACATAATATTATATATCCAACGTATAATAAATGTAGTATTATCTATATATAAAAATAATGAATCAATATACTATATATAAAATTCAAGCTTATTTAATTTTAGAATTTGATATATTGCATGGAAAAAAAGGTTTTATATTTATAAAACTATACATTCAATGCTAATCAAAATATACTATGTAATATACAGATCCATAGAAAAATTACAAATTCGTATAAATATTTAGTATATTTGTTATAAATTAGGCATATATATGATACTATATTTTTATATAATTTTATTAAAAGAGGTAATTGCCACTGTTAAATTCAGATGTAAATAATTAGGGTGGCATAATAACTTATCATATATTTCTACTAATATGTTTAAATAGTATGTATATCATATTCACGAACACTTAGGACATTAATATATGAAATCTCATTACATATATATTTTATTAGCATGTGGTAGTGTACATATTACAACATATTATTTTATACTAGATTTCTGATGCTGCATGTATTTAATACTTTTATTCGAATTTCTATTTTTTTTTTCTTATTTTTATTAATACATAAAGTTATTTACAATTTAACAGTGCTGAAATAAGTCACTCAGTTCATACATTTATATTGAAAAAAAATAAATGAAATACATATATAATGTTTTTTACATTACCTGGATAATTTTTATTCATTAGATTCTTTATGTAAAATATATGAACATAATCACTTATATTAGTAATACTAAATATATTAACTTCTCTGAATTTTATATTACTTTATATATACATGTAACAAATAGAAGAAAATATATATAGGAAATTTCACTTAAAATGCATTTTTTATTTTTTAGTATACATAAAAAAAATCTATTATCACATTTATATCTTATGCTAAAGTAGGATTTATACAAATATATGTTATAATATAATTATATAATTTAAAGAATAAATATAGAAAATATGAATACAAAGGATGAAAAAATAACAACAAAAAAAATAGTGTAAAATAATTTTATTGAATATAAAATTAAATAATTAAATTAAAGAAAATTAAAATAACAATAAAATGAAATGTTTTATAGATTCATGAATATATATATATATATATTTATTTCGTACTACATAGATTTGCATGTCCAGTGACATCTAGTTAATTTGTATTGTTGCTATTTTCTATAAATTAAATTTCACGTAATTTAATTAATCTATATATAATATAAAATGATAATTTATATTTAGCTTTTTCCCGTATTTATGGCAACATTCAGAACCAATATTCTTAAAATTGTTTGATGATACTGCATAATGGTTATTTTTAATATATCTATTACACAATAACCTATTTAAAATATTCCCAATGCTGCAAACTGAAGTAAAAATGTAATGTCTAACATGAGTTGTATATAAATAATACATAGTGCTTATATTATATGTTTGATATTTTTTAACATTTAATTTTATCCGGATATGCAGAGAAAATGAATGTTTTATAAATATTTTTTTATATTAATAAATTTTTAGTTATATTATAAGTATCTACTTCTGAGGGAATATGAACATTTAATTAAATCACATAATTAAATAATATATAATACATAGATATACAAATGATATATTCACAAATTAATAAGTTAAATATATCATATTTATATAAAAATAATAATAGTATTATATGTTTTATAACACACAAATGAAACAGTTTTTTTATTATGTGAAAAAATAATATTGTTGTATATTTATTTATTATTATACGTAATATATTATAATGAATGTATCATATCAGATTTGTATTTTCTATCTGTATTATATATAAATATTGTAAAATAAGTTTATAAAAAATATATATGTCAAACATTTAATTGTAATAAATTTATAAAAAGAATATATTTTTAATATTTGTAAAGATAATGTTCTTTTCAAATAATTATTTTATTAAATTTCAAATTTAAAAAAAAAATTATTTATTAATAAATGTTTTATATATTTCATTTTTTAATATTATATAAATACTTCAATACAAAAATATATATAATTATTTTATGAATAATATAATTCATTGTTATTTAGTTTATAATATATTTTTTAAATAATAAAACAGTTTAATCTTGCGTTATGTGTATTGATTTAATATTTTTGTACTATGTTTATATTAATAAAAATATATTTTATATTTTTTTATAATTCCATTTTAATTCCTCCTTTTATAGATAACTTGTTTAAATTTTCTTAAGAAATAGTTAATTATTTTGTTATATATTTGTGCATGTTGTAAAAATACTTTGAACATGCGTATTTATTATACAAAATCAATTAATGTAATATAGATATATATTTACATATGATTTATTTAGGCAAATAATTTATATAATTATATTTATTGTCACACGCATGGGGAAAAATAATTTATAAAAAAACTATATGCACTTTAATTTAATTCTATAATGATTATTGCAATAATATAGGAAAAATTAAAATTATATGTAGATAAAAAAAATTTTATAAATAGGTTCCTTCTGTAAATTTTTTTTTATGCAATTATAAATAGGACAAATTATTTGCTATTATAAATATATTTTTTTAATTATGATTTTTGGAGATATATTATTATTTAATTTCTTATTATATATAATGGCACATATACAGTATACACTTTCTTTTGGGGGGTATAAAAATTAGAAGCTATGAAAATTTATTTATTTATTGTAGTAATGTTCCTTCTTTTGTTCTGTAAAATTTTTATTTTATTGTCTTATATAAACACTATTTTATTCATGTAAATGTGTAATATGAAAGGAATATTTTACAATTAGACGTAGGGAAATTATAAGATAATGCACGAATATGCTATAAGACATTTTGAATATAAAATTATATAGAATTCTTCTATGGGATAGTTTTATAAACACTATACTAAAATAATAAAATAAAAAATAATCTGATCATTCTTCTTATAAATTCTTAAGAAATATAGGATATATTTTATCACAGTATTATTTTTGGAGTAATATATCTTTAAAAATTAAGTGTTATATTCTGCAATTTACAAATATTTATGCTTTCTTTTTTTATAAATATATAAATTAATATGCAAGTGTATAAAGCGTATATTTAATTTTACATATTACATAGTTTGTACAATATTTCTGAGAAAATATTATAGACACAAAAATTTTTAATACTCATTACACATTTATCTATATATACATTTCAATAAAAACGAACATGTTCCATCATAAAATGTTTTTTAATCCTATTATATTTTCTTTTCTTATAATTTTTAAAAATATATTAATATTTATAATATATGTCTAAATGATTTCTACATAGTACAACTGACAAGGACGTCCTTATAATATTTTCCGAATGTTTGGTAATAATTATAAATAAAAAAATTAAAATGATCATTTATTGTTACTTATAGAATTATAGAAAATTATGTACATATCAATACAAATAAAAATACACTTATTTATACATATAATTTTACAAATAAAAATTGTGTACAGTCGAAAATTAAAAGGTTTCAATATATAAAAATAAAAGCACAAAAGGAAAGCATATACTAAGTAATATTGTGTATAATATACTAGGGACAGTAATTAAATATATATGATACATGTAATTAATACAATGTTAATAAGAAATTATACATATTTTATTAGGATAATATTAATTAACTCATTAAAATATTAATAGAAATGTAAAATATTACGATAAATATATTTTATAACCTATTAGAATTTATAGAAAGCCTCTATGAGAAAATAAAATGGAAAATATTATTTGAAAAAAAATATATGAACTTGTAAAACAAGGGTTCTTTTATGAAAACATACTTTTAGAAAGATGTATATTAATTTAGTCAAATATTCAGTATCAATATATTTCATAATAGTGTTGCAAAACAGTAATATTCAGCTTTATTCTATTTTGGGAACACTTTATATTAGGATATAAATATAATTTTGAAAATATGAAGTACCTTTGCTTTTTCAAAAAATATAATATTCTAATATTTACAAGAATATATAAAATACTATGTAGAATCTTGAAGCATAAAAAGTAATAACATAATAGGCACACAGAAAAAGTTCGCTTTAGATATAATCCAAGATATATAACAGAAAATCTGAAGTTGAAAGGACATATAATTAAATTGTTTTCTAAATAATTTATTCAATATACATTTTTCCTTCTATACATTTATTTTGTATTCAATTAGTTATTTTAATTATAATTTTTACAGAAATGAACATTTTTATTTAAAATTCTTTATTTTTGATAAATTATGCACGTGCAGAATTCCATATACTTTAATTCATCTATATTGATAAAAAAATATGAGAATTTGTATATATGTTGTTTCATTATTAAAAAATATCATTATTTATAAGATGCTTTTTTCTTTTTTTAACATATTAGTTAAAGAATATTAGTGTCTTTACATTAAAATCTTTATTTCTTATAGTCTTCTATATAACCATCTATCTTATGAACAAACATTATAACAATATTTTTATATAACTATAAATATGTAATAATATTACAAAAAAAAATAACAAAAATGATATAATATATAAAAGTTTTTATGTCAACATATGTAGAATATTTCTTATAAAAAAAGAATATAAAAAAAATATGATAATTCTAAGATAAATATAATAAAAGTGCGTTAAAATAATGGAATGAAAAGAAAAAATATATTATATGAAAATTTTTAAAAAAATATAAATAATTTGAATCCCCCCAATTAAAACGTCATTTCTATAAAGGTTTCAAAAAATATAAGGAAAAAATTTTATTTTCCATAGCGTTTATTTTTTGAAATGTGTTGATTTAATATATATATTTTTAATATTATTCTTTATTTTTACTTTATCATCAATTCACTAAATATACATATATATTCGACAACGTAACCTATAAATAAAAGTTATTACAATAAGCGAGGCAAAAATAAAAATAATTCAAAGAATCTACAAAAATTAAAAATCTAAAGATATTTAAAAAAAAATTAAAAATGAAAATTAAAGATCCATTATGTTGAATGGAATTATTTTCTATATTTCATCTGACGGACAATAAGAAATCTAAAAAATGAAAAATATTAGTAAATAGCCTAGTTTTCATATATTTTAAAATATATGAACACAAGAAAATAAAATAATACACAATCTTTTGCAATTAATTATTTATATGTATCTTTAAATTGTTTATTTAATTAAATATATTATTTATTATAATGCAAAATATATTACTGTATATGTATTCCTTACAGCATATATTAAAAATAATTAATAATGAAAATTATTAAAAAAAATTTAAAAATCTTGGGCTACAATTTCAACTCAATTCAACTGAAATGAATATTTTTTAAAGAACAAGATTGTCCTCATATTATAATAAACTTAAATATTTATACATATATAACGTTAGTTTATATTAAATAATAATATGTATTTTTTATCATTTTAATATGTTTAAATAATTCATATATACTAGGCTCGCGTATAAATAAGCCTAAAAATATTTAGAAAACTATATATAAATGTGCATTAAGAATATTTTATGTAATAATAAAGTATATGCTAATAAGAGAACGAAAATATTGAGTCCGAAACCTGAAAACAATAAATCACATAAAATAAAAAAAATGCTGATTATTATATTATTAATATTGCACTTAATGCATGAAAAAATTTAACAGTAATCTAAACTTCTGATTTTATATGCCAAATTTTAATCCTTGTGTCTATATATATATGATATTTTTATATCAATTCTATAATTATAATAAAAATGCAAAGTAACATTCATGCTAATGCTGACTATATTTATTAAAATACAAATCATTATGTTTATATTGATATTATATTCATTTATTCAGTAAAATAGTATATTCTAATCCATAATGGGGAAGATTAGTGTAGACTTGATATATTCTAATATAAATTAAATCATTGTAATATTTATATATTAGAAATTTCGTAAAAAAATCATATATATTTTTAAAGGAGTATATTTATTTTTCACAATAATATTTCATTCTCCTTTTTAGTATTCTGTAGTAAAAGTCTTTCTTAAATACAAAGAAATTATTGAAAATAATAATTTGATTTTGGATGCGCACCTGTTTTCAAATGTTCCGAATATTATTGATAGTATTGATAAAAATTTGCGTCCAGAATACGTTCATATGTGCACTAAAGCTTTGTTATATTTGAAATATATAGAGACAAGTAATACTGGAATATCTGTAGAACCTGTTTGTATATATTTATATTATTGGATATATCATTATCTTAAGAATAATGGGGATAGTAAACACGCAAAGGCTTTTTATAAAAAAATACTCAATTTATTTCAATCTGCTATTTTTTTTTCATGTACTAATTATCCTGATATTATTAAAACAAGTGAATTGGAAAAACTAAAATTTCTGCATGATATGTATAATATTCTCAATGATATAAAAATACAAAGTCCATCTTGCAAAGAAAGTAGGTGCAAATGTGCTTATGATTGCGCTCTTATGTATATGCAGAAAATTGATGAATGTGAATTAAATTATGATCATGATTTTTGTAGTGAATTAAACAATATAAAAAATGAAATTAATGCACAAGAATTAATAGAAAGTTGTGATAATGTTAAAAATCTAATGTTCCCTAATTTCGATAGGGAGAACAGAATATTAGACCCAGTCCCAAAATTTTCTACGTTTCGTGTTATAATTATAGTTATTATAAATATATTAATAATCTTATTTTTAATTATTTTTTGCAAGGTTAAATATATTATATGTGTATATATACTATAATATATGGTATTTAAAAAATTAGAAAAAAATTTTTATTGAAAAAATAATCATATATATATTTCATTAATTCTTATTTTATTATTAACTAGTTCTCTATGTATGGTTTATATTTGAAGCAAAGAATAAAAGGAGTAAAAGAGAAGTACATTAATTTTGATGAAGAACGTAATACATTGCAGCTATTTGATACACCTAAAGGTATTTCAAGTGATAGAACATATAATATACTATATAATCGTGACTGAATTTAACAATAATCATAAAATTTGAACAAAATATATTATGTAAATTAAATATAATATTTGAAAAATCTAATTTGAGAAACCTTTCTCTAATATATGCATAAGAAGTTTATATAATACATATATTATAATAAAAACACCATAGAAATTAACATATAAAAACAATATGATAATATTTAAATATAAGCAATATAACAATGTTCAACACCTTATTCGATATTTCAATATATTTTGAATAAAAATAAAATTATTTTTTCTCTTGTGCTTATTGTTTTAATATATATTAACACTCATGAACATGATGTCTTTAAGTTAAAAAAAAATATGTAATATAAATACAATTATGATATACTATATATACTAATATAGTAATGAATATAAATATTTTATTTGTTACAATAATATAATGGATTGGTTACATTATTTTTTTATTCATGCGCTTCTATTTTTTTTCAAAGTATTATTCAAAAATATATTTGCAATAAATAAATTCATATAATAATATTGATTCTTGAATTAAAAAAATATATATTTAACACATGCTGTGTTAAATAAAAATAATGTCCTGTTCAACACTTTTATAATATATCTATGTAAAAAATTAAAATTATAAAATTTATTAGTATATATATATAGAAACAATTATACACTTTTTCATTATTCCATTCATAAAATTTCATTAAAAAATAAAAATTTAAGACAATATGTCAAATATAATTAGCTGTAAATATAAGTGTTTTATATACATATGTTTATCAAATCAGAATTATTATAACTTATAAATTATGGAAAATAACGTAGTACGTTTAACTTTAATATGTAATAATATATATAAATTATGTACAGCAATATGTATAACTCAATAATTAAATATAAATATATATTCTGCTATAAATAATTACAAATACGCACACGATTCCTAATAATGAATTTTATTAACTATATTCAGTCATCTAAAATGTGTAAATTCATATGGTTACTCTAATTGTGTTTAAATATATAAATTAAGCAAATAATTGAATAAAAAGGTCATTTATGCAATATGTAATTGGAGATCCACGTTAGATTACATGAATGAATGATGAATATACATATACTGAAATTTTTTGATAAATGATATTAATACATTGACAAACATTAGCATATAGTATATAAAAAATATAGTAAAAAATAAAACTATCTATAATTGATTAGATAAACCTTCACTTTATTAATTAAAAAATATGTGTTTTGCAAATAAAATATCATATAAATTAAAGAATTACAAGCATATAAAAAAAAAATATAATAATGTAGAAAATTGTAATAGATATTTTTTATTATGATTCTCATAACAATAATAGTATATTATTTCTTTGTTTAATTTTTTTAACGAACATATTATTCCTGTAAACTTTTCAACATTTAAGATAATATAGAAAAATACTTACAATAATATTAAATATAAATAAATAAAATTTCATCTCATAAAATCAAATGTTCATCAATATATTTTAAAACATATTAATTTAATAATCTTTCTAATAGCACTATTATATTTTTTTTTTTTATATATACAGTTTCTGAAAATTATTGAATATATTTTTTTATATATAATATTCATTAGATTTTATGGCTTCTCATATACAAATATTTGCTTTTTAAATATTTTACGTCACTATAAAAAATTTATTTTTTATATTCCTTCAACTTTTTATGTATTTAATAAATTGTTTGCTTAATATTATAATTTCCTGTTCTTTTAACAACATATAAAATATCGTTTTAATTTATATAATTACATTCCTAGCTCATTTCATATTTTCTCATTATTCATAGTGTTCGTGTAATAAATGATCAATCAAGTTTTTATATATTATCAAAAGTATTACAAAATTTGAACCATATGAAAAATCAGAAAATATTATTGTTTTATGTTATAAATAGTTTAACACCTATGATACAGAATTTTTATATAAATAATTGTAAGAAATATGCTAATGTTCATAAATATTTTTCATTCTTTATCTTCAGTATAATAATGACATACATAAATTAAAATAATAAATATAAGTTTTTTTTATAAAAATATTATAATATTAGTCATTTATTCAATGTAATTATATTTAATACTATTATTAAAATGAATATGCAAAAATATATATTTACTATATATGTAATATATACTATTTGTCTTCAATACATTTAGTAGTATTTTATCTAAATATAAATAATATTATATTTTCCTAAATAAACTAATCATTTTATACATGTAATTACAAAAAGGTTTATAGTACATAAGATAATACCTAAGTCACAAATATATTATTATTTACCATAATTACTTTTGGTAACAATTATTAATTTTTATATTTTTTTTGAACAGGACTATCGAAAATATAATAAAGGAAAATAATATTTCTATATACAAATATGTAAATAATATAATATAAAAATAATATAATATGATATATTTACATTGGTCTCTTATTGAGTGCAGCATATGGTATGGAAATTTTTAAACTTTTATTTATTTAAATGTATTTTTTTAATATCATAGCAATATATGGTTATTCTACCTTATACATGATAAATGGTAATGGAATGAAATTACAATATTATTAATTACAAATATATTTAATTGAAAACGACTATAATTACATTTTTATGCCAACGTATATTTATTTATTATTAATGTAATATATATAATGATCGAAAAATATAGTAAATTGCACATTATTGTGGGGTTAAATTAACTACATATTAACATTTCAGGTACCTGCTCGTACAAATATAATATTGCCATTGTTTTAATATTGATAATGTTACATATAATATTATTTTACTGAAAAATTTATATAAATGAAATAGATAGATATATTATGAACATGCTAAATTTTATTATATTAGAATGTATATCATATTAAATATATTTCTCTTATTTAAAAAAATTATATCATTTAAATTTTAGAAAACATAGTTTAAAATTTTCATATATAAGGTTTCTGGATTCAGTTATTTAGTTGCGATCTCATCTTATTGGCCTTCTATGTAATACCTCTTTTGTAATATACTTTTTTTTTGTAGTGATTAAATTTTATAGTATGTGTTTTTTTTATTATACTAGAAATTTTTTATTATTTTGATTATTTGTACCAATTATATATAATAATACATGTACGCATTCTGTATTGATGAAAAAAAAAATTGTTTATCATAAATAAATATTTAAAATTCATCTTTCATATATTATTCGGTATTTTCTATATACGTGCTTAGATGAATATGCACAATATATTAAAATTAGATTAAAATCATATACTAATGTTGTAAGAAATTTACATTTTATTGATATAACTGTTATAAAAATATATAACAGCATTATTTTTACTAAAAAACCATAGTTGTATTCAATATTTACTTTACATTATTCAATTAAATATATATTACAAATCAAATAATAATAAATACTTAATAATATTTTTTTAAATCACAAAATTACAAATAGTTATAAATTCAGAATTTCATAAAAAAAAATAGAGTTCCATATTTTATTTTTATTGAAGTATTTATTTTAAGTAACAATTTATTCTCTAATATTCCTTTTATTTTGTGTGATTTTTAATTATTTTTTAAATAATATGGATATACTTGTATATTATTAAGTAAATGTAAAATAAATACTATGAGCATATCCTATTTGTCTTAATATAAATAGTCAAAAATATACTTGTGGAATAAATAGACTTCAAAAACTGCTTCACACTGTATTCGCATATCTAATGGAATTAAATATGCATAAAAAATGTGGAAATGTTATAAACAAACCAATTATATGAATTCTTTATATAGAATGTGCAAGAATGATTTCTACTGGTATTATAATATTTGTGAGAAATATATATTTTAAATATACACAATAAATCATAACCTTTATAATTTACATAATTTTATATATATATGGAGAATTTAGTAGAATATATACATGAATAATAATATAAGTATTGCAGATATTATGATGTCATAATAACTGAATTAACTACAAGAAACTCATGCTCAGATGTATACTGAAAAAATAATGTAATAAGATCCATGTCAATAATATATTATGTAAAGCTGTAAATAAATGCTTGGTGTACAAATAAATGAATTTATATAATATTTATAAATTCTACTGAAATAAATTAATTCTAAAAATTGAAAATGTATTAACCGATTTTGATAATGACAATGGAATGTAGTTTTTCATATAGTTGTATAAAAATAGTATACTAATCTGTATATGCTCTTTAGTATTATTGCATAATTTCAGCTCAAGTACGTGTATGCAAAATTGTTTGTAATTTATTTTCTTATTATATTATATTTTATGTGTATTATATTCATTATAATTTTTTAATTAATTTTCATTACTTTGTTAGTGCATAAAGGATATATTTTTGATTATTATAATTTCAAGTTAAATAGTATGTTTTGAGACATGCTTTAATTTAGAATCATTCCAATATGAATATATTATTTTAACAATGCACTTTCCTGGAATTACTAGAATATCTTGTATATTCATATAAAAATGCATACACTCAAAATATATATCTATAAAACACTTCTTTAATTTTTATTTTATAAAATTATATTAATCATAGGAAACTGAATACTTTTTGCAAGTTAATGAAAAAAAAACATGTTTGTATACTTCTTCAGTGCTCATGTGATTAGATTAATATAAATATTTCTTATATTATATTTATAATTTCCTATAAAAAATTTATTATTACAATAAATAAAATGAAATCATAAAATGAAGATTTGTTAAAATTATAAAAGAAAATGAAAACACATTCTTCATTGTTTTTAAAACAGGAGAAACAAAGTTATTTTTTTATGATGCACGAGGAATAGTGATTATATATACTAACTAATTGCATATAAAATTAATATGCTCCCTTATACAACAAGTTGTATAGGTGTCGTCACAGTCTTATTGATCTTTTTTAAAGTCTCCATCTGTTTATCACATAAATTGATTTTTATAGATGTATTATTATTCTCCGATTAATTCATTTACATATTATTTATCCATTTACGTATACAAAAGTTACATATGCATCCCATATGTCTACATTGTTTTTTTAAAGTGAGAATTCTCTTATAAATAAAAAGTAAAGATTATGCAAGTGAATATATTCATTAATTTATGCACATATCTATCAAAAAAAAACTCTCTGATATTGAATTTATTAGCATTATTTCTAGAATATTAAAATAATTCTTTTTCCCACGTACTATCCATGCATTTTTCTTAAAAAATAAAAAATTAATATTTAATGTAGCATATAACGGGAAAAAAAAAATAATATAATATATGACCATTTATTAATCCATGTAAAATTATAAATAAGTTCAATAGTATTTTAAACATTAAAAAAAATTTATAGATGAGATGTTAAAATTTACTTTTATTTTTCATATATACACTTCTATACTTGTTATTAATATTTTAATATATATGTAACATCTTGTTATATATTATAATATATAAGTATAATGTTTTTATCATATTATTATATGTTGTTAAGAAAAGTTGTTTTAATAAATAAAGCAGAAAAAAACAAATATGAAATTTATTATTAATTTCTTATAGACTATAATTTATTATTATGTATTTTATTAACTTTTGATACATTACCTCCATATATATTGTGTTAATTTGCTCTGTCCAGTAATATTATTTATAAAATATAACATATTCATATAAATTTATAAATATATTATTTAATATTTCTTATCATATATAATATCTCTTTGAAATTGCATAAACATATCTACTTATTTATACATTAACAAGGATTCTAAGTCATTAATAACGTAAATCAATATAATTAAAATCATTTAAAGAGTCATTACCATGTATCATTAAGATACAGTGTCTATATTTCTTCTATAAATCATATTCTCAATATTAAATATGAGCATGCAGGTTACTTTTATTTAATTATTCTTATACTAAAATACAGCAACTTATATATCCAAAATTTTTTGGTCAATTAACAAACTCTAATATACAATTTATAAAATGAATACAAATCAATAAATATTAGATTTTTGTAGCATATATATTTTCCTGTTTTAGAAATCAATAGAAAATCCTTTTTTCGTTCTGTATTTGGACAAGAACAAATAAAACTTTATTTCTCGTATAAATGTTAATTTAATAATATATTTATAATATATTATTATTATCCACATTTATAATTAATATATATGAGTTGTAATGAAACCTATTATAATATATATTATGTTTTTATTCTTATAGTTTATTATTTTCAAACAATCCTTTGTTTTAATTATGTTTATGAACAGAAATTACAATGATTTTCAAATATTATTTTACACAAATGTTGTCATCGTTTTTTAATATTTTCCCTTGTATATATTTTACACTTTATTAAATATAATAATACTTAAATTAGAATTTTTATACTTCCATTCATAGTTGCACTAGACAGGTGTGCATGGAACTCGCTTATAGTTAGCAATGAATATTATGTTGCATTGTAAGCAATACGTACATTCATTTGGGAATTTTTAATATTCTTATATTTATTTTCTTGCATTAATATTATATTATCAGCTTTATATTGAAAATTATTCTTATGGAATTTTTTCTTATATTTTACCTTCTTATTTAACCAACTTCCAAAAGGAGAGAACTAATATAAATAAAAAAAGTGCGTAACATATTTATATATTTAAAAGGACAATATATATAAACAAAATTATTTAAAAATAATGTTACTAATAACTTTTTTTTATTATGAATACTTGTTTTACTTTATAGTACATGAAAAAGACCATAATTACTCCTAATGATAATATAATCATTAAGATGATACGGAAAAGTATATTTTCTGTTAAATTGTTGAACAAAATTGGTGTATTATATAATTCTTGATCTTTCATATTCAGAATATCATATAATGAAACGTTTTTATAAATTTTATTTTGATGTCCATTCAACAATTTTTTATACATTTTAGATCGTTCACAATAAAGTTGCATTGTTTCATTTATATGATCCCCTTTACAGGATATCTCAGATTCATTCTCATATTTTTTTCGCTTATCATCTATTATTTCAGGAAATAATGTATGGATACCTTCTGGAGTATATGCAAAAGATGGTGTTAAGTTACCACTTCTGTATATATCATTGGAAATTAAAGCTACGTTGAATGGTTTGTTATTAATTTCAATTTGATGAATTTTTGTACTTGAGTTACTATCTGCTGATCTTTCTGAATTTTTTTCTTTAAAAAATGTGTTTCTTGTGCTAGGATGATATCCAGGATGCTGACATATAATAGATGTTCCATTAAAAGGAGGTTTATTTACATTAGCGCATTCTAAATATTTAATATACATGTCAACCTGAGTAGAATAGTTTTCCAAGTTCTCTTCTTTAGATTTGTTATTTAAATTAGCATTTTTAATTTTATTGCATTCTTCTTTATCTTTTGACTGTAGTGCATTAATTATATTACGCGGATTATACTTGTCGTCACAACTCAAAAAATAGTTTGGACAATATGATGCACCAAAATGACAACATCTTTCGTGAAAATTGTGCTCATTATAAGTTTCACTAATAGATTTAAGATAATTAATATATTCATTGTTATTATCAGTATCACAAGGAATGTTACTTATAACTTTATCATAACTTTTAAAATAATCATACAAATTTTTCTGTTCTATAAAAAATTTTAATTCATCTAAGTTTTTAACAGTAAAATGGTATTGACAGTCATATATATTATTATGATTCTTTTTTGTACAGTCTCTTAGATTAATGAATTCACTTATTATATCTGAAAAATTGGATTTAGTAGTATTATTTTTGTTTAATTTCCATATTTCTCTAAATATCCAGTATTTGTAATTTATGCAATATTCCCTATATATATTTTCTTTTTGAATTTCATTTAATTTTTTTGCATTCCTTAAAATTTTATTAAGAAGATCATTATTGACATGTTTAAAACTATTATTATTGGAAGTACATTTGTTTTCTATTTTATTATCTGTAGACACAACAATTCCATCTAATTCCTGATATATTTTAAAAGAGTAAGCATCTGATAAATTACTTTTGTTCTAAATATAAAAAAAAACGATAATAATTCAGATAATATGTATATAATATTAAAGAAAAATGTTTTTATTATTATTAGAATATCCTGATATTATTAAAATAACTAAATACGAATAAAATTTATTTTCATATATAACAACAAAATACTTTTGCAAATTCGTAAAAGTCCCCATCATCTAATGTTATTTCCATAGAGAAATTCAAATATGAATTGATTTTATAATTTCCTTTATATCAATAATAAATTCCAATACACATTATTAAAAATGTTATATATCTATTTCATCAATTATTACGAAACAAGAATATAATAGATATAAATGTTATATATCTATACTTAAAAATTCAAACATTATTATACTGTAATATAATATGCACAATACTTATTTTGGAAAAAAAAATATATTCTAATGAATAAATATGCAGCACACTTATAATTCTTCATTATATAATAAGCATTTATCATGTATAATTTCACATTGGAAATAATAGAACTATTATAAATATAACACATTAATATATTGTTTTTCTGTTCTAGATATTCCTTCTATATGTAATAAATAAATTATATTATATACGTGCTTATTAATTAAAATTTTAGAATAAACATAAATGTATGTTATAATTTTATGCAGATATGTAAGTAATAATACCTGCAGTATTCCATAAAATATATACAATTGAAGTGTAGCTATTTCAATTTTTTATAATGGATAATTTAATATTATCAATTTTATGCTCCATAGGTATATTTTATATATATATAATCTATTTCACGCGGTAATATAAAAAATATAAATTATACAGCACATTATAAATATATTTTTTGATTGTGTATGACAAATATATTTTAAAAATGATTATATATATTTTTTGTTTTATATGGTTATTTTGTATATTTTATTAATAAAACTATACTTGTTTTTACTTAATCTTTTATATTTAATAAATTTCCAAAAAAAAATATTTTTTAAATTTACATAAATATTTTTCTAAAAAAAATTATTTTTATTTATTTTATAAATTTAATTGTAAATGTCAGTTATACTGTTTTAATTGCCATCACTTTTAAAGCTTTAGAATGTTGTAACATATAGATTATATTTATGTACTTATTGTAATGAAAAGAATAGAGTATTTTATGAATAATGGCTATAAATCATTTTTTCATTTTTTACTCAATCATTGAAACAATTTGATATTCATCATTGCAACGTTATTTACTTTGTTATTTCATATTTTGATTATAATATTTTTTATCGTTCAATATAATATGGAAAATAATGCGTCCTTCTGAAGCATTGTAATTATATATTATACTTCTTTAAATTTATGTTATATATATATATATATAATAATAAATATATATTATAAGAATACATGTATTGTGTGATAAAAATTTATTTCAAAAAAATCATACAATGTTCATATACACAAGAAATTTCACTATTAATATGTATATTTTTTTCGATATGAATTACATAGTTTTAATACTTATACGCTCGTTTATATATATTATGTCAATCAATAAGTCATATTAATAATTATTTAATATATTTACATATATAAGCAATTATAATTATTTGAATTTAATGAATTTTTTTTTTTATTTTTTTTTATGCAGAATTATATTATCATTTTTATCATTTGAATATATAGGTTTCCTTAGAGGATTTCAATTAAAATTAAATTTTTTCATTTCTATCAATCACTTATGCATAGTGCATAATTAAAGTATAATTTATATATATATTTGATTCCTAAATTATAAAATTATTATATGTTAAATATACTATTGTTATTTAGAAATTTTTTTCATAATACATCATACTATATAATATATATTACACATTTTACTCGATTTGTAAAAATTACAATTCTCTCTCTATATATACATTTATGAAATATATTATTAAATCATGAATATTCAATATAAAAAATATTTTTGTTGTGTGAAGATATTATTTTTTGAAATAATGCTTTTTCCCTTTAACAAATTAATGAAAAACGTATTAATATAATTCGATATATTATAATTTTTTGATTTTATTGCTATGATAATATTATAAAAAAGGAAGTATTTATTCATTTTATAATCGAAAATATCTTTATAGTATTTATGTTATTTATCCTTAGAGAATCATGAAGAGGTTTAGTTCACTCGTTATATTTTCATTTACATTCTTTTAATGAATTTATAATATTAGTAAACATTCTTTTATAATTTTTATGTTCATAATGCTTACTATAAATAATTATTGTTAATGTTTTTATGAAATAATCAAAATTATTTTTCATAAAATATCTTCATATTTTTCAAATATTTTGTTCACATATATTTATTATGTTTAATACATAAAGTAATAAGTGATATTGCTATATATTATTTATTTAGTGATAAACTTATATAATTATAATTATAGAATCATTTATTATAAAAAGAATGTTGAAAAAATGCATAATATATATATAGAATTATTATGTAATGGTTATTGTAAGAAAAAAAAAAGAGTAAAAGAAAATTTATTACATAAAATCACTTTCTTAAGAATTCATCTTTACAGTTATAGTCCTTAGTGTTTTCTCGTACAATATTGTTCCTTTTAAATATATTTAATGTAGATATATATGAAATATATTTCTATAATAACAAGTGATAAAGATACAATATTCTCCCTTTTATTCTTTGTAAATATATACATAATATTATTCATTATTAATTGAATTCGTTATTCATCAATAATATATTTGGATTCATATTTTTTTTATATTTTTCTTTCATATCTTCTAAGTCTAGGTCCAAACAACAATATTGTAAAAGATATGTTTGTGAAAATCAGTTCAATTAAAAATGAAAAATTTTTTTTGTTAATATATCATTATAAGATATATACATATTTATATATAATAATGTATAATTTATATGCAAATTAATTTTACAAGCTGTTTACAGAAATAGTGCAATTAAAAACAGATTGATCCTTGTGCTTTGAGCATAGATATATTATATGGTATATATAGAATTCTTTGAATCTGATGTCGTGTCGATCAATAAAAATTAAATATTTTTTATTTTTGTATTTTTTATATTTTTTTTTAAAACTTCTGTAAAGCATTAATATTACCTATTATATAAATATCTAATTTAATTTTATATTCCTCATAATATAAGTAATATTTATACAATAGTCAATATATCCTAAATATTGCAAATACACATTTTTATGTCAAGCTTTTATATTTATTCTAGTAAATCAAAATAAATTAGTGTTCAAAGAGTCTTAAATAACTATGTGCATCACAATTATAGGAATATTTGTATATAAATTATTATTTTTAATATTTAAGGAAAACTGATTATTAGCAGTGATATTTTTAATGATATATTTATTATAGAAATTCATAAAATGAACAAAGAATTCTAATAAGTATTTATATTTATTACAATCTATAATGTACAAAATTAAACATATATATATTTAAATTAAAACATAGTAAGAGCTTATGGTTTATATATTATATATATATTAAATAAAATATAAATTTAAAATATATGAAGGATTATATTTGTTAAAATAATTATAAAATGGGAAAGATATCACTAAGTACATAATCTCAGATGCGCAAAAAATTTTACGTATTGAATGAGAAGTAAACTCGTTACATCATAAAAAATTAAATATTTATTTTAATCCAAGAATTTTCACATTTATATGCATACATATATATAACATAAATAATTTGAAAAAAAAAACCAAGATTTTATAAAAATACTTTTAGTCAATTAAATTGAAAGTCCTGTGATGTGTATAAAAAAAAACATTATGATAATAGGATATTTTAAATTATATATATGTATATATTAACATTTTTTGTGATAATTTTCAGTATTATAAATATAAAAAACATATAAAGAGAACTAAATATTATATACTGATTTAGGATATTTTGGTGTATTTCACAGTATAATTATAAACTCTATATGGATTCTCCAGATTTAAAAAAATATAAATTGTTTCTTACATTGAAATAAGTACTCAGTTCTTATATATTTATTCATATTTAAATACACATATCTGATAAAATGAATACTCTATCTCAAAAAATACTTTATATTTTCTTATATATATTAATAAATATGTTATTTTCATCTTCATTTTTGATTAACGTACATTTCTGTTATATATTTCAATGCAAAGAGCAGTTATATGTTTGCCTGTTGTATATGTTTGATAAGGCTTTCTTATAAAATTCTTCAGAAAAATATCATACACATTAATATGTTATTTATATCACGTAAGAATCATATGTTCAATTCTACATTATCACAAAATACTAAGGAACAATTTTAGTTATAAAAAAATAATATATAAAATTTGTTACTTCATAAATGTGTTATAATTCTGTTAATGTATTCTTTTAGAAAAAGTATGTATAACCATTATAGACCACAAGTATACTATAAAATATATTTAATATATAAATTATTTTTAAAACTATTATAAATATTATTTAGCTTTATTAAAATATAAAAAAATTAAATTGATATAATATAAGTTTAATCGTAAATTTTAAGCATATATTTATCTATAATTACATCGAAGGGATATAATTCAAAAATATGTGTATGAGTTCTTATTTACCATAACATATATATTTAGAAATATAATAAAATTTACACAGAGCTAAGTATTAATGAAGTTATATGGGATAGATATTTATTGTGTACATATCTTTGCTTTAGGAATATGATATATATTTATATTATAATTTATAAAAATAGATATATATATACATGATAGTATTTATACTTTAGAATGCACTTGTTGTATATATAAATAAATATTTTGTCAAGTATAATTTAAGTAATTTTATAATATAATAAAATATCTGTTATTTTAAAAATCGAGTTATAATTGCATATAATATATCGTTTGTTCTATTTTAATATATAAATCTTAAATATTTCATTCATCTTTTTAGAAATTAAAATTTTTTAGCCTTTCATAAATTTATATGTCATATTTATATTAATAGATTTTTCTATATTCTGAAAGTTATTATTTATATAAATTTCCTTGCAAAATAATGATATTTTCTGTCATGTTTGAATTCTATAATTAATTGTATACCATTAACTTCATGTTTTTAAAATTAGGAAAAAATATAGATAATGTAAATATTTAAAAAAATGTATTATATTTTAGCTATGTATGAGCTTCATAAATTACTATTATATTGATATCAATTTACAATAAAACATAGTGAATTGATAATTACATATGTTATAATAGCTCATAGGAAATGAGTCGTTTATGATTAAGATTCAGTAAAATTTAACTAAACAACAAAGATATAAATTTTGTGAATAGAAAAAATATTTACATAACCGTGTTTATATTTGTGTTGTTATATATAAAGTAATTCAAAGTAGTACAGTACGTGTAATAATATTTAGGCACGTTTATTATTAAATACATATTAAAGTAATTGTTCCTAAATTACGTAAAAATTGTTAGCATCTGATAATTTAATTTGACCCTAGTTATATGTGCTGTAATAACATTACAAGTATATTTTTTATATTTTCGTGCATTTTTTTTTATTCGGAAGAATATAAAATATGTATTACAGATATATAAATTTTCTTACTGAATATTTACAAATATTTTATATCTAAATTATTAAGAAAGAATATTTCATAATTATTATTTAGTTCACTCTCATTTCCATGTGTATAAAAAGGTTGTTTCATATATAACCATCTTTTCAATACTTATGATTATTTCTTATATAATTCGATTTTTTCAGTATATAATAATATACTAATCTATATAATAAAAGATTATATAATGTTAAAAATATTATCTTATAAATTTACAAATTATAAATAAGACATTATATCATTAAAAGTATTACGATCCTGATTATAAGAATACCTGGAATAGATGCATTAATGAACAAAATTAATAACTAATTGATAAGTCTATAAAATATTATAAATATGAAAAAGAAATATAAGTTATTACATGATATTTATAATAAAAGTATATATAAGGAGTATATAAGCTGTTATTAGTTTTTTATTAGAAAACATGAACTAATTATCTTTTTAAAAGCAAGGGTAAAACATTCTAAGTACATTACATTTATAAAGAATTAATTATGTTTAAATTACTGAAATAATGAAAAGTCTATATTAGGTTTAATTAATTTATTGTCTAGCTCAATATTATTTTTCTTCTACTGTTTAGTTTTACTTATTTATGTCATTGTGCAAAAACGAAATAAAAAGAAAAAAAAAAACAAATACATTCTTTGTTATCCTCAGAAATACTTATTATCTTTGTATATGAGTTATTATAGAGGCATTCAAATTGAATGATGTTTAACTTATTATTTTATATGAACTTATAATAATGCAATATCTATTTTTATGATAACCTAAACAAAAATATTTATATATTTGCAATATAACTTATAAAAAAATATACAAAATATAAAGAATATATATATGAATATAACAGTACATTTATATTATGTTCATGTTTTTTTTTTTTTTTTTTGCTCGTGCTTTTATGAATTCTTCAATATGTACTCATATCACAATAAACACATATATATTTCTTTATATAAAACATTAGGAATTAATTAAGAAATGTATTAATATTTAATATAATATATGTGTAAGATTAAATTTTATTTATTTTAATGATTTTTTATGAATAATAAAATATTTAAATTAACAATAAATATATTAAAATATATAAATATGAATTTAATGAATTAATATAATTATTAAATTTAGAAATTATGCATATCAACATATATGTTAAAACATATTTTTTTTAAAATAAAGTAATCTATTATAATTTGAAACAACATAAATCCTTGTATATCTTCATACATAATTCATGGTAAAAATCATTGTAAAATATTTATACATTGTATGATTCATATAATTAATACTCACTTTAAATTTTTAAAAAATATATATAAAAAATATCGCAAAGAAAGGAATAAGTTGTTATTATTTAATAAATATTCTATATTACTTACACTTTATGCCTCTTTATTTGGGGTTAAATGTTTCTTTAATATATTTAAGTAAACAGGAAGTTAAAATGTGTCCCCATTAATACATTAAAAATATAAGAATTTATTATAATTTTATAAAACTATTTATATTTTTAATAATGACATTACCACATAACATAACTGAGCGCAATAAAGTATAAACATACCTCGAATATATTTTTTTTTTTTATTTATGACATATAGTACATGCAGTTTTTATATTTATTCTTATATATGTGAGATTATATATATAGAAACATAAAACTTTAAAGCATATATAGTTAAATATATTTACATCATGTGTTTTGAAGGATATTAAAATAATAGTAATTTCAAATATATATATTAGCTTTTCGTAGCTACAACCAATGTAAAATTTTTACATAATTTGCAGTTTTATGAATACCTATTGTAAAAAAATTTTATTCATAAAATAAAAACATTGTGCATTATTATATATATCATCATATAGTGTATCAGAGATGTATATTTTTATGTAAAAATTTAAATTGGAAGATTGACGTTCTTTCATTTCATTTATAGTATATATATATTTCTAAATATTAAAAAAAGTGTATAATTTATATAAACTTAATCCACATAAAGTTATATAATAAATAAAAAAATCATTTATCTTTTAGAAAAAATGATACTTAATCAGATGAAATATTTTATAAAACTAGAAGCGACATGCAGAAAGTAACAAATAAAAATATTATGTGAATATCAACAGGATATATATTTATTACTATAAAATTGTATTCAATCTATAAAAGAATACCTAAATTAAGCATTCTATTAAATTATATATTAATGAATAAATAGTGTATATATAAAATACGATTACAAAACATATCTTTTTATTTATGTCATATGAGGTTATTTTGTTTGTATGTTTTTGAAAATTATTTTATATACAACTTTGTATTAACCATAATATACCTTATAAAATATATACTTTTTTTGAAAACCTAATGTAAAAAAATTATAAACTATATATTATGCAAATGTGATATTCTTGCACACATTACATTTGTTTATGAACTGTATCACACATTTTATTTAATTTTTAACCAAGAAAAATGACTTCTTCAACAGTTAAAAATATTGTATATGTATTATCTTATATTTATAATTATAATTTTTTATATCTAAAATATATGTTCTTTTAAATTATATATATAATTTGCTAAAATATTTATGCATACGCTTATATATTTCCATGCGTTTTTTTTTATAGTTTGTGCACGTAAGTGTTTTTGAACAACATTAGAATAAACTGAACAGTTATATGGAAGGTATGAATGAATATTTTAATGGAAAATCCTTGTGTAAGGTATATAAAGGTGAATATAATTCTATTTATAATAAATTTAAAGATATTTGTCTCAAGGTTACATTTTATTTACATAAAATACAAAGGGATGAAATAAGCGGAGCCACATATGCAGGATGTTTATATGTGTATTATTGGATATATTATAATATTTTTAAGGATAACCACTTTAATTATATCAAAAATATGTACGATCATTTTCTTAATGCATCTGGTTATAGACAAGATGACTCATGCATTTATTATAAAGAATATATTACCGAAGATGTATTGAGAAAACTCAAAGTTTTATATGACTTGAATAATAGGATTCGTGATCTAAATGAATCAAAATATGACTCTTGTAATGGTCAAAGGTAAGTATGTCTCCAAGAGTTCGCGCACATATATGCAACTAGAATAAAAGAATGTGAAATCAATTATAACCATGATTTTTGTAATGTATTAATAAATATTAGAAATGAACTTAACAGATAAAGTTACCTGAATGGCGTGTAATTAATATACCAGAAATGTCATAATATACCAAAAGCAATATTGGAATTTCTATTATAATCCCAATTGTTTTTATGACAGTTATATATTTTTTTCATTTATTGTGTATAATGTTACTAATAAAATAAATTTAACTCTACACCTTTTATTTCAAACTATAATACAAGATAATACATAAATCATATATAAAATAAATGAAATATTAATAAATAAATTTTGTGCCCTTTTTTTCAGTATACACTATATAGTTCATATATTAAGCAAACTGTAAGGAATTTATTGAGTCTACGGAATAAAAAAAATGGAAAACAAAATAAGTTATATAGCTTATTTGAAAAGAAATACAAAAATATAACTGGTAGCAATTATAATTTATTGTATAACTCAGTAGATTACAAAGAATACATTAATAAATATTAATGAATGTGACTTATATGTTCTATAAAGGTGTTATAATTTACAAAGAACTAATTTTTTCAGAAAAAAATATAATTAGAAAAAAATAATTAGGCTGGAATAATGATAAAATTAAAAATAATTTATTAAAGTCAATGTAATTCAAAGTAATAAATAGTACATGAATTCTGAAATAATGGAAGCAAGTGAAATATAATTATACTTATTATAAAAAGTACGAAGTTTTGATAAAACAAGAACTAACATTAAAATATTATTTATTAAATTTAATATATAACTCCAAGTGTTCTCTGGATTAGTATATTAATATACTATAAGATGCCATTATAAAAACTAAATAATGGCTTGTTTTATGTAATTAAAACAAGAAAAGAAATTATATATTGAATAAAAAATAATATATAGTGTAATGTAATTTTTAATATAATATAAATTATATTTTTATTATAAAATATATTAAAAAATTACATAATAGAATTATTATATATAAAAAAAAGGCAAGTTTTATAATTACTAAAAAGAAATTTATTGAATAAGAGTTTATATTTAATTATCTCTAATAAATTTATAAATCGTCAATTTTAACTCTGTTAATCTAACTCAGGAAGGATCATTCCTAAATTAAATGAAGCAATATTGATGTATAAACACTGGATATATTCAATTACGGGGGGTGAGACATGTTTTTGTAGATTCACCTCAAAATGATATATTAAAGATTTTTTAAGTAAGGATTAAATATATTAAATCATAATATTATTCCATTATTACATTCATTAATGAAAAGAAAATATGGGATTTATTAAAATATATATTATGCAATTATTATAAAACTTAAAGACATTTTTTAGAATTATAATGATTATAGAATAATATATATATTTTCGATGTATATATGCATAACAAGTTAAGCATAATAAATCTAATGATATGTATATTATATTTTTTTGTTATATTTACAGTTTATATATGTTTCACACAATTAGAATATGCAGAAGTAGCTTAAAATATCAGAGTTTATATTAGTATTATAAGTGATATCAAAATTAGAATCAAATATCCCTATACTTTCATGCTAGAATAATAAATTATAACTAAAAGATAAATTGAAAATAAAATTTACACATGGATCAATTAAATATTATATAATTGTATAAAGGAATCCTTTTTCACATAATTGAAAATTAATTAATTAACCTAATGTATATAATTTTCTTGATATTAATTTTTAATGACATTTTAAATTATATATTTTTCATGGAAGACATAATTCAGTGAAAATCAATAGAATAACCATGTGCGATGAGTATAAATTATTTATACTAATTTCACAGTGTTCTTACAATATAGATGTAGAAGAATATTTCTTTTTTTGTGTTATTAAATATGTATGTTTATATAAATATTTATTTTTTTTAAAAACATTTTAAACTTATGTAATAAATTTATCTAGTAATATATTGTATGTGTGTCTATTTTTTATTTTTTTTATTTTTTTCATATTCATATACACTAATGGTATTGAATTTTCACCATATAAGTATTTAAATACAATGATAAAAATACTCTTTCCATCCTATTATTGTACTTTCTTTTTTTAATAATATTAATGCTATAAATTTTACTGAGCTAATGTATGTTTTCATATAAATATATTTATATATGAAAATTACATTAGTTTAATGTGAGTTTAACATAATTAATTTAGAATAAAAACAATAAGAAGCAAATTTTCACTTTTATTATAAGCTACAAATTTCTTATAATATATATGATATAGACAAATATTATTTGAATGTTTTGTTTTTATTACTTCCATAAGACGAATTCCTTTTTATAATACAATTAATGTTATTCTAATACATAATGTGTGAATAACTTGTCTATTTATATATTTTACTATCATTTATATAATATAGGTACTTAAGTATGTATGTATTTTACTTATATCCTACATAAATATATTTCAACCATTTTTACTTACGCATGAATACTTTATGCCAGAATGAATTGAGAAAAATGATAATTCTATAATCACATATAATTCATTACTGTGTGAATACGTAATGCATGTAAAACAATATAATTTTTATCAATTTTTTTTCATAAATTTTTTATATAAATGTTATAATATTAAGGAAATGTGTTATATATAATTAGAATATATGCAAATGTATGTAAACAGTTCATACATTGGATAATAATGTTTATATATGTTAAGAATTATGAAGAATCTTAATATTTTTAATATATATAGTTACTAGATTTAAATCTAAATATACTTATATATAATGAGTTGATATGTTTAAAATCTTTGTACTTACATAAGTTAGCTATATATATTATCAAAAAAAAATTCAGGATGTTTTAGCGTGTTATATAATGATGATGAATCATCAATACAATATTTTGGAATACAACGCGAACGTGTATTTTATAATATAATCAGTTTTCTTATAGGATATTATAGTACTTGTTTATCTAAGACAATAGTTTATGGACATAAATGTTAAAGTAGAGACAATAAAGGATAGGTTTAAAAACGAGTAATTATGTGTTGATTCATATATATTAACTTGTACATGTTATATATATAATGAAGATTTCTATTTTAGTAGAATTATTTTTTATTCAATTTTTACATTCATAGATATTTTGAACAAAAAAAAAGAATTTATGTGTGGAGAGAAAAGTAATTATTATATGCCTTTTTATTTCTTATAAATAATAATTGCTTAGGAATTTATATTTTTCTGCCCATGTATCACATAAATGACAACAAAAATATTTTTTGCGCTTCAGATATATAATTCATTGTTACATGGATATTTATTTATAGAATATATGTTCGATTATTGAATAATTTTATGGAAGCAAGTTATTTTTGTTCAAATATTTTGTTATAAATATATTGTTATTTATACACATTTTCTTAATTATGTTAACAAATTATTCATTTACTGAAAAAAATAAATCTCTTATGTATAAATTATTTATTTTTTTTTGTATATACAATTTTTTCCTTTAAGCAAAATGTTTAGACACATATTTACCAGTATATTATAGGGATATATTTTTCAGAAAATTAATGTTTTTTAATAAAATATTTTATAAATTACAAAATAAAATATCAACATATATATTTATTCATTTTAATTGGAAACATAGCAGTGTATATTATTAAATTACCTTTTTGCCTAGTAATCGAATAATCTTACAATAGAAAAAATATATTGCGTTTGTATAAAGAATAAAAACATGTTTGTTAAAAAGTACATCATTTATATATATGTATATGAATTAATGAACTATCTAAAATTTCACATATTTTAAAATAGTATATGAAGCTCAAAAAGTTAATATATAATATCAGCTGACTTAGTTTTACATATTTAAAGTAAGAGATGGAAGGAAAATTTTTATAAAAATATTTTATCTTATGCATATTTATTTAATTTTAATGGTACATTATTTTGAGTATTTTTACTGCTACATGTACAATAATAAAAACCGTATATGTTTTAAATACATATCATCTTGAGATTTATTTATGGTATAATATTACTAAAAACTATGTTTAACAATGACGTATACAGTACATAATATGTCCATGTTTTATAATATATTAATTTAATTCATTCATATATAAGTGCATATCAGTTATTAACTATAGATACAATTATGTTGAAATATATATAATTAATAAAAAAAATTTTGTGGTTATTATGTAAAAGAAAATATTATTAAAATGTCTTATTAAACTTGGCAAAATAATAACCTCTGTTTTCGCATATAAAATATTATGAGAAATATAAAATGAAGATTTTTGATCAATGAAGGTATTAATTATTATTAATTGGTATGTTATTTATGAAGCAAAAAAAAATTAATTTACAAAAATATAATAAAGTATGTACGTTATTTTTTAAATTCAATTATGAAAGAATAATTTTTGGAAAAAAAAATGTATATAATATGTTTATATATAGGGTACTCTAAATTATTATTGTTTGAAAGTTATAATGTATTCTTTGCTTATTTATCTAATACACATTGATATAACGTCTATTGAATAATTAAAAAATATAAGTAGAAAACTTTACTGAAATAATGTTTCTTATATTAAAAGCGAAAATTGAAATATAAGTATTCATACCATTATTCTGCATTATATATTCATTAAATATATGCATTTTATATTTTACTGTGTCTTACGATATATATATATATATATATAATTAATGGAACTAGGAAAACATAATTTTCATAAATTTATCATATAAATATAATATATATACAAATCCTAAAATGTAATTTATTTATTGTTCCATTAGTATATTAGAATATATATTATACAGCAGTTTAAAATTAATAATATATGGAATCACATGCTATCATTTTACTGGAATTATATATTATAATATGTAATAATATAATGTTGTACAAAGGACGATAATATATATCATTATAAAATTAATGATAATATGTATCATATATAATGTACATTTATACAAAGTAATTTTGTCTATATTCTTCAATAATATTAACTTGTTATAGTATGATGATATATGTGATATTTATATAACCAAATATATGAATAAATAAGTTATATGAAAAAATTATGTATTTATTTTCATTTGATTGTAGCATCCTTTCAAATTGCTGTATATATTATATTATTAATAATTAATCCAAATTATATTAAATAATAATATATGAAAATTATCATAATTGATAATAATTATATTAGATAACATTTATGGGTATCATATAATGCATACATTAACTAATCCATAAATCATTAAGCATAAAATTTAAAATCAACACAAATAGTCCATAATTAAAAATATAAATAAATCTAACATTATAAAATACATCATTTGTGGCAAAGATTGCTAAAGATTAGATAAACTTATATGTTATTTCTAACATTGAATGTATAACAATTGTAAATATATTAAAATGAATTCACATAATGTAAACAATTTTTAGTCATAAATATT